AAAAAAAAAAAAAAAAAAGAGCTGAAAATGGACCAACGCTGCAATTACATATAAAGGTTTGGGACTTCGGCCGCAAAAATGAAAGGTTTGGATGTAATCTGCAACAAAATGAAATGTTTGGGACCGGTGATGTAATTTTTCCGAGTCAAAATTACTGTTTCAACGTTGACTAACGGTTTTATGGACGGAATTCACAGCTTGGGACCGATGCTGCAATTACATACAAAGGTTTGGGACCGACACTGCAATTATGTACAAAGATTTGGGACTTCTACCGCAACAAGTAAATGTTTGGGACCGACGCTGCTATTACATATAAATGTTTGGGACTTCGACTGCGAAAATTAAAGGTTTGGGTGTAATCTGCAACAAAATGAAAGGTTTGGGACCGCGGCCGCAATTTTCCCGAGTTAAAATTACTAAAGGGTTTTGCATGGGGTTTTGTTGCTGGTGGTTAGGCTTGGCCACAGTAAGGTTCCATTCCATTTGGTAGAACTTCTAAGAAGTTAAAAGTTGTTTTCGAGATTAAAAAAAAGTTATTTTTTAGCATGTTTGAATAATTTTTTAGAAGTACTTTATCCGGTTAAAAAGATCTTTTAGAATCTAAAAAATTGTCTAAAGTGGCTTCTTCAGTGAGCTCTTTTACAATAAATAAAAATAAAATTCATACCAGACCGACAATATACTAGTCTATAGATAATTCTATCAAACCATAACAAAATTATCTTTATTGCCATCATCTCAGTTCACAGAATGTCGAAAATTCAATGCCATCTCCATTTTGGTACAACAGCCACTGCTACTTTATTCAAGGAAAACTGTGAAGACAGTAGCCTTTTTATTTTCTTACAAAGGAAACCCCTTTCTCAATGCTTCCACCCAACTCTTTCTTTGCCTTCTCCAACCCAACTCTGTCAAAACAAAATCATGGAAAAATTATTATATTCTATTTAAATTTAACCAAAAGATTTGCAATCAATAGTGAAGGATTTTAACCAGTTTTCGGCACACCTCTCATATTCATTTAGAGGACCAAGTGGGTATATCTCTTCAACACCATTTCGACCAAGACGTACTCTTGAAGCAAAGAAAGGAAGTTCAGTCACCTGAAACGGAAATTAGATATTCATGAACGCGAGTAAATAGAATGGATGTTTAATTGATACATTATATAAACATCCTAAAGATAATCTATGCCGGTGAAACTTGAATAACATGCCTGAGAAGAAACAAAAGCACATTGAATGACACCAGCATCTCCTCTCAAGGCATGCAAGCATGCATCCGCAAATTTGACTGCTGCATATGCCTGTAATGTTAATGCATGTTTCCCAACAAAATTAGCCAGCTTTTCAAGATTAGAACCGAACATTCTTTGGCAGTTAAAGAAACAAACAAAATAAAAAAATACCATTGAAAGAGTTGCAGATCCCGCACCAGCTTTTGCCTGCAATAGACAGTAATTGCAATCATTTACTTAAATGTAGAATTGATGCCTGGAATTTAGCCACCATTCCATATATCTAGTCAAAAGAAGTTGAATAGCAAGTGAATAACACTTATCAAGTTCTTCATGTTATAAGAACAATTCTCCAAAGCTTTGAACTTATGAAGGTCACACAAAATGCTAAAATTTAGTTTTCATCCCAAATACTTTTCATTCAGGTAAATTATGTAATGCAGATGTTTCTACAGCATATAACACAGTGCTTCATGAACCTACGCGTATATCACATTTTATTGCATTTCTATATTGATGATACAGATGTAGACTAGTAAAACGTAAAGTAACAAATTCAATTGCCTTGTAAATATCAATGTGCAGCAAAATGAGAAGTAAATGTAACTAAAGAGCAAGCAGGTAGTTGGAATGAGGGGGGTGATGCTTAAATTAACATAACGCAAAAGTTAAGACAATATGTACATATTCTCCTACATGTTTAAAATGGGAACCTGTTATTGACCTGGATGACTTAGTAGATACAGATACTTAGGAGGCAAGTTTTTATTGAGTCTTATATCCTTATAAGCGCATCTATAGTTTTCATCACTAAATTAATTTTCAGCATTCCTAAAGTACCATATTCGCTTATAAAACTGAAATAAAAACTGACTATATTATTAAATCAAAAAGTCAGTGGGTTTAGTCACCTCCATTTGACTAAATCCACATCAAAGCAAGATACAGTATACTCTCATAAGTCACCAGTGATTCCAGGAAGATGACGAAGAAAAAGGCTCACATACACCCATGTATTTCTACTCCTCCTTACATAATTCATAATTCATATTTCTAAATTCTTTCTTTTCCAAAATTGAGAAGACAAGGTAGAAACAAAGAGAGAGGAGAAAACTCACAATAATTTGGTAATGCTTGACTTGGTGAAATTTTGTTCTTCAATTATTAATTATCCTCACAAGTCACAACCATTGGTTTTTCTACAGAGTTGGGAAGATTGTTTCTGATTTATTAGTTGCAACTTTTGTTCATTGTTTTGAAAAGCCATTTGAGGCTTATTCTCAAGGCTACTCTCACACGAGGTTTCTTACGCCTTGGGGTCCAGTTGTTAGGCATACGCCTCGCCTTACAGAAGCTTCCCCCTCAAGACTAAGCCCAAATGCAGCGAAGGTGTATGCTAGTTTGTCTTGCCTTTTGAAGGTTTTTTTAGGAGCCTAGAATGTATTATGGTCTTCTATTTTATTGGTTCTGCCTTTGCGTGAAAAGGGAAGGGGAAGGAGAGGCACAACTGCAAGTGGAGGATGATGATAAATAATTAGAAGAATGCAGACTAATGAGAATGGTGATAGGAAAAGAAATGCATTGATGATTATCTTAAAAGGTCCTATACTCCTATTAGTAGTGAAAGTTCCTGTTAGCAGTGATAAAATTGAGAATAATAAGTTATTTCCACTTAATGTAGTAGATTACAATTATATTGTCGAACTACTAATTTGAGAACTTATTATTTGCNTGGTCAAAATGTCGGGTTCAATTCGATATGATTAGGATTTATTATTATTATTATTATTATTATTATTATTATTATTAAATTTTTTTTTTTGTAATTATAGATTCAAGATGGTTTGTGGTTTAATGTGAGCATATTTTTATATTCTAAAATTCTTTTTAATTAGTTTATTAATTTGTTTCGAAGTTTATGCCTCAAGACTTATGCCTTGCCTCACAGAGATAAAACCCTTCAAGGCTGACAGTCCTGTAGTAATACTTTGTTGAGTCCACATAAACAAAGAATAAGAAATATAAACTTGTAATAGATTATTACATATAAAAATACCCCCTACCTCAACAACTTCTGTTCCACCATTCTGAATACGAGAAGTCAGGTACTCAGTTTCTTCTTGGGTGAAAGAACATGGAGGTTTAACCTGCATCAGTCGAGACAATTTCTTTCAGAAAGTTACCTTGTATTTCAATGACATGAAATGATAAGTATACTTATTGAGCAAACATGTTCATCTTGACCTGGGAGAGCAGAGGTAAAATAGTAACACCAGCATGGCCTCCTACAACAGGTACGTCAATGTCCCTAGGATCAAGCCCCAAAACTTCAGCCTATGGACAATTATGGAATAGAGTAAATGTTAGGCTATGAAAATAGACAAAAGGTATATAAAGTGATGAAAAAAGGGGGTCACAGTATATGCATCCTGGTCACAATCACACTGTTGATTATAACTTCATTAAGTGATACCTAAATTTCGCATATACTTTTAATGAGTTACTAAATTTATTCACTTATGAAGCGTCCATGACTGTCATGCTAAGGTTATGGTAGAAGAAAAAAGGAAAGAAGAGACGAGAAAACCATTGGCAGGGTGGGTGGATCGGAAATAAGGTATAGATATAAACAATCAAACATGATTTTATATTCCGTCGATACGATAGAAGCATGAAGAAACAATAAAAAAAGGCACTTGACATAAAATATATTTTAACTAGACTATCCTGTATTATGTAATGATAGCAGAAAGTTTTAGCAGCCAATTCATAAATGGATGATGTACCACCAAAACATTTGATTCTATGCCTATTTTTTGTGTATTCATCAACTCATTTTTATCGTGCTTGAATGTACATCTTTTTTGTGCGTGAGAGCAAAATACAAAAATAAAAAGAAAAACTTGCAAGTCACTACAAGAATAACCCTCAAAAAAGACAAACAAATCAAGGAATTGAACGGGCAATAGGTGAAGCACACTTGCACAAGGTTAAAGGCACATTTACTAAATTACACCCAAACCGCTTCTTCTTCTTCTTTTTTTATTTTTTTATAGAATGCATTTTGGAATAATAGATTGATGGAGAATGGTGATTAAAAAACAAGGAAAAATTTTGGGTTTGCATGTTGTAATATTATTTTATTGAAAAATGTGTGGTTGAAAAGAAGAGAGAGAAAAACGTATTTTGGAAAAAAATAAGGATCAAACAACGGCTAAAATTATAATTGACATAGATCAAGATGCTAAAGTAAACAAATCTTACCACAAAAGTATTAGCTCTGACGACATCAAGCATCGTGACTCCCAAAAGTCGTCTTGGATCATAGGTGCCAGCCCTTTTGAATACCTCTGCTGCAATTGGCACCGTCGAGTTCACAGGATTACTAATTAGGTTAACAATGGCCTTTGGACAGCACTTTGAAATTCCTTCACATAGGGTCCTTACTATTCCTGCATTGATGTTGAAAAGATCATCTCTTGTCATCCCAGGTTTCCTGGGCACACCAGCAGGAATGATTACGAGGTCCATGCCAGTAAGTGCATCCTCCAATTGCTGTTGCCCCAGAAAACCATGTACCTGGACATCCAAATAAATAGATAAATTTACGCGCCAATTTTATGACCTATTTATCAATTCTATAGATATGTTGATCTATGACAAATTTTTTTTAATTCTGACTGAAGAAACCTGTGGGAGAAGAAAGGGCAGCACATTCCAGCTGAGTATGTTTTACTTTCTTGCAAGTGAATTTACTAATTGGAACCAAAACATTCAATTGATTTTCTCCTAATACGATCCACTCCATACAAGTTTTAGCATCCATGTGTACTTCTTTCTCAACTCTTACTTTTTGGAGACATTTAGGGGATATATCAAGAATACATTTACTTCAACACACTACTTACAGCATTGATACTTGTCTCAAACAATCCCCTTTAGTAATTGGAACTACGGTCAAGTAGTCCCTTTGAAAGCTTAAGCTTTGAGATAGTTGGGATTGGACTTAGATTTCTTCAATCCCATGGATTTTGAGGCTTACAAACAAGTGAAGTCTTCTTAGTGAGAAGTTTGTCTAAAGTTGTGGAAGAATACTAAGTCATGAGAGTTTCACCTTTATATTAGTCATCAATATTGAGACTGAAACTTCAGAATTGAAACAGATGTCCCAAAGTAGACATATATTCATAAGTAGACAACTGAGAACAAGTGTTTCAATAAGAGTAAAAGCCTAAGAACAAGGAGAAATAGATGTCCGAAACTTAGATGGTCAAAGGCACAACAACAAGAATATACCTACACCAGAAACCACGCGAATATGCTTTCAGATTGTTGACGTGGTGATATCCAGAAGATGAATAGGGCAGATCAAGCTGAACATAGAAATAATATACCAGTATGCAAGGGAATCAGAAGGCCACAGAGGAATGCACACATCTAAATATGGCCTTGAATGTCAAAATCAAATATGTTGGAAATATGTAGAACGAATTCCAGAAAGGAACAGAATGATCATACAAGACCTAATGACACTAGCTGGTGACATTTTCGTAGTAGAACAAGGTATTTATGAAGATAACATCATTATAAGAAAGGACGTCCAAAGTACAATACAATCAAGCTAAGGTAACTTAGATCAGAAGGACAGAAGCTTAGACAATATTCCAAATTCGAAATCCTTAAATCATACAGAGCTGAATAAAACGAAGAACAGAAATAGCAGATGATGGAAGAAGGAAACTTCAAAAGGAAGAAATTGTGTGTTAGCACTTGAAAGATTATGATCAGGCAATGCACTGAGGAGATTCCAAAATACTCAGAAGGATTATTGGACTAGATCCTTTGCTTCTTTGACTCTTTTACAAAGACACATTATTTATCTTCAACGTCATTAGCAACTGTCCAAGTCAAGTTGCCACTGGAGCTATACGAACACGCTTGGGATTGATGTTCTGACATAAGGGGGGAATTTTAAAATTTATAGGATCACATTCATTGCTCTTTCTAATGCAATTCAACAAAGTCCAAGAATGTTAATTACTTTTTATTTCAAAGGAAAAAAAAATTAGTTCTTTCTGCCTTCCTTTTCCTTTTCCCATTTTCTAGAACGGATCAAAACAAAGCCCTAAACATCATATGTCCAGACATAGTTCTTTTATACAAGATATACCACCAGTATTTCAATGTACAACAAAAGATGGAAGAGAAAGGTTACTTCCATACCTAAACCACATCATCTATCCTCTTAAAAAAATTGAGAGAGAAATTGAAATACTGGAGATAAATGAAGCAACATTTACTCTAATAACAACTTCTCTTTCTTTAGAATCAATTGAAGATTTCATGTTAATGAAAAGCTGTGATACATATGATGCTGAATAAAATAAACTGACAAATAATAGAATATCAGTTAACTAAAGGACATTAAGAACGATAAAAAATGAATTACCACAGCACCAGTGTCCATGTGGCTGATATCTGCAGTCACTCCTGGAGTGTTTACTACATCATAAAGATGTAGCACAGAAACCAACGGATTCATCTTCATAAGCATTGCTAAAGGCTGACCTATGCCTCCTGCTGCACCTAATATTGCCACCTTGAATCCTGGTGATCCCCCTTTTGCCCTGCAGTTCTCCTGTCTCAAATTCGTACTCCCCTCCTTCTTTAAGCCCATATTTCATATACCCAAAAATAATTTATTCTAATCAATAAAATGATCCAAGAAAAGCACAAGCTTTGTATGAAAAAAAGAAAAAAAAAAAAGCTTCATAATTTTTGAAATTACTCGTAATAATATCAAATTGAAGTCAAATGCCCGTGAGAATTGATTATCCCAGTTAGAGAAACCAAACGGGAAACAAACTGAACAGAAAAAATAGGAACAATAAGCGGGAAATTAGAAAGCACCTGCAGATTATTCATGAGGGGGTTGAGATGAGCTGATAATCTGGCAATCCGTTGATTAACATCTGCACTTGCCTGCATTTTTTAACCGAGAAAACACTACAGGAGAATTTTAAAATCTGTATCAAGAATTGGCGGCGTCGGATTTCGATGTTGGGTGCGAGAATAAATAGAAAGAAGGATGACGCAAGAGCTACTTGGGATGAGTGCGATTGAATTTGTTTTGATGATGGCTTATCCTTAGCACATTTCCCAGCAATCTTTTGCCCATAAATTTATTTATTTCAGGGACCATTTTGCAGAGTATTGAAAACCTCAAGGACTAATATGATCATTCCAGAAAATTCAGGGACATAGTCGCACAATTCAAAAATTGAAGGGATCGAATTGCAGAATGCAGTAATAATGATGATGAAATGTGGATAAAGGTTTGTTTGGCACTTGGGATGATGTTTCTATTAAGCATGGCATCATTAACTATTTCGAGAGCCATTAGTTAAAATGGGACCGAACTTCCAAGAGGCTGTGGAAGATATGGTAACTAGATTCATAGGGGTTTCCGAGAAATAATCACCCAAGAGAAACATATCTTCCTAAATGTATCTTTAAAAATGAACCAAGACACTGAACGATTAAGAAAATGAATTCGGAGTGATATATGTCGAGAAGAACCCACTATCACTATCAAGCCGTTCAAGTATTGAGGTAGAGTGAGCGAGTGAGCTAGTGTCTAGCGCATTCCCAAGACTAGAGTGCATGGCAATTAGTTTTGACTTATCTAAATATTTATGAGTATGTTAAGAATTGATATTTCATTTTAAAAGGTTAATCTAATTAAGAGGAGTAACACAATCCTTTATAAATTGATTTATGTTTACATTTTTGTTCGATGTGAGATTATATCCCTTAATATGCCCCCACAAGATGGTGGCTCGTTTGACCAGACCAATCTTGAAATTCGTATGCTCACTTTTGGAGTTTTAGCCAGATTGAATTACTCGTTAGAGTTTAACAGTCTCTAATATCAAGTTAAGAATTAGGGTTCCATCTTAAAAGGTTAACCTAATTAAGATGAGTAACTCAATCATTTATAAATTGGTTTATGTTTACATTTTTGTTCGATGTGAGATTCTATTCCTTAATAGAGTCGAGGTGGTAACGACAACATCCATTGCACTTGATATGAAAACCCTGGAAGAAAGGTGAAATAATAAACCTTCAAACTAGGAGTCTAGCAATGAACAAAGTTCGGATAAATTTCAAACCACAATTTAGTTTGCTACATAAAAGTATACAAATTAATATATATAAATATTACTAGCATTAAAACTCGAAATTAGCATTTGAAAATAAAATATTGCAAAAAACATGCAAACTTTACCATTCTTCACGTCAAAGATAATAGGGACATGGGGAACAACAATGAAGTCACGCATACATGAGTATATTCTTCACTTAAATTACTAGGAAGCATATGAAAATTATTCACAATTTATAAAATCTACGACAAGTAAATTTCCTACAATACCAGTCTATTCGTTTCTTTTTTAATAATGTTCACCATTTGATTTGATTCAATTAAGCCCTTGTTTGAGCTCCATTATTTGACCAAAAAAAAAATTGATTTCGGAATACTATTTTTTGAAGAATGTTTAGTTAAAAAAAAATTTGGGTTTATATGTAATATTATTTTATTGAGAGAATGTTTAGTTAATAAGAGGTAAGAGAAAAATGAATTAAAATTTAATGGAGGCCATTTTGAGAGAGTTGAAAAAGTACTATCTCTTCTATATATCTGCCATTTCTCAACGCACTCCAAACATTGGCTACAACGATGATAGGTCTATACGAACTCAAACTAGTTTTGCTTCAATTTTGTGATTTGATGATTTTTTTTGATCATTTTCACTCCAAATCATACATATCTTAAGGCATTTGGTTGCATGGCTTTTGCTCGCCGAGACTTCAAAATGTGAGTTTTTAGACAATCTTAAAGGGACGAAAGGATATAGATTGTAAGTTAAAAGAGGTTAAGGGCTATAAACTTATTATTCATAGAGATTGTTAGCAATGTCAAACAACTGGACAAAAGAAACAACGATTAAATGAGTAATTGAGAGACCAAAAGATCTTGGATTATATGGTTCTAAATCCTCACAATAATTTCAAAATCTATGAAGACGGTTTGAGTAATCAAGAAGACTTGAGGTCAACAAATTCGAATTAAAATATAATCCAACAAGATCAGGACATCTTGCATGAACTAGCAACACAATCTTGAAAAATAATGTATTAAATCAAATTCAAGTCCAAGTACACATATATAGAATCAATCAAGTAACATAGTCTTATAGAAATGTAGAGTTATTAGTTTGTCATTTTATAGCTGTTATATTTTCTTCGGATAAACACTAACCACAAAAATAATGTTGAGTTGTTAATATTATTTCATTATGATTACAAATCAATATGTGTTAGGGGCTCATGGCCATTGATCATCATTCAATAGAATTATAATTATTCTTTTGTTCATTTTAAAGTTCTCTTTTTTATTTTTATTTTTCTTCTGATGTCTTTACTTAGTAAACAAAAGTGCCATATTTGAGTGGTTTGAATGCATGAAAAGAGCGAAGACATGTAATAACAAAATTTGGTTAGGAAGGAGATTATAAGAAATGAGATCCTCGGTTTTAGGTGGAGCAACTAATGCCTAAATTTACTCAACAAGATGAATTGACCAGTTCATGAGTTAAAAGTTCACAATAAAGTGTTGAAAACCTTCACAAGATATCGAGATAATGAAGAACAACCCACCAACTGGGTGCAAAACCTTGTAGCGACAAAGAAATGAAGAACAAACAAACAAACAAACTGAAAGGTGTCTGCTTAGTACTCGATATTTAGTAATTTGTGGATATAAAATGACATATTTTTAAATGTGAGTCCACTTGTGATTTGAGCAACAATAATAATGATGAAGAACATGAAATCGACAAAGAAATAAGAATAAAGATTTAAGTGGTTCGGTGATGTGCCTACGTCCATGGGAACGAAGCGGCTATAAATCTGTTTATTTAGTTGCTATTTTTATTATTATTTCATAACATGTTAAGTTTTAATAACTTAGATTAATCACTGTCAAAACTCCCAAAGCCACATTTTTGTTATTTCATAACATGTAGTTGAAAGTCCCACGTCGGAAATCTTACAACTAACTAGCATCGACATTTTCGTACAAATCTCTCATCAAAAAGATCGTTGGGAAACTCCAACACATCTTCCAATAACGTCTCCTGTAAAAATAAGATGGCCACGACAGTTAACTTAGATAGAAGTCCATAGAATTTGAATTATATCAAAACTAGACAACGCTTAGAGCAATATTTGCCCCTCAATAGTGTGATAGATTTCAACATTGTAAATATTTGCGATCATTCTCATTAATGCTAGCTTTCAAGGCAAAGATGTTTACCAAATATTAATATTACTCATTGGTATAAAGTTTTAGGGTCTGTTTGATTGCAATAGTGAAATTTGGGTGGAAAGAAAATGAATTTGAGGGAATTGAATTGCATAGAATTGTTTTCTTGAGAATTGTTAATTAATTGTATTTGATTAGTATAATTTTTCACGTGGAAAATATTGAAATTTTGGATCTTTTGGTATTCATTTGACTTTGTTTTAATTCGTATTTTAGGAAATATAATTAGGTTTAATTTAGTTACTTTTATTATATATTTTCCTTCTCAAGATAGAATCTTTCATATCAAATACAAATGACTNAAAAAAAAAAAAAAAAAGCTGGAAAACCAAAAACAGTCAAAAATGTGGAACATTGAAAATATTTTCCAACTTCCATGGAAAATTTTACACATCAGACAGGGCCTTAGTTCATAAACAAGGTTCCTCATCTACTCAGGATTAATGTAACTAGTGATCTTGTGAGATTAATGGCAAATGAAATCTTACATGTATGGTCTAGCCCAATACACTTCAAATACACCTGTTCATCTATTGCAAAGTTTCCATTTCAAAGATCAAGATAAGACATTCACTTACTCGTGAAATAGTTAACAACATGATCTTATCAAAATAAAATGTCCAACTCACTCATTCTTAATGTACAATTAGCTCACCCATTGAGATCTCTTTGGGGAGGCTGGAATAGTAGTAGGCTCTGACTGTTAGGTGCAAGAGTCGCACAAACTGAGAAGAAAAGTGGGAGTCGGGTTTTAGTTTGTAGAATGAAAATGCCAATTTTTTTATTACCTTTTCGATGTCATCAAGTGTGAGTATTTTAGGCAACAAACATGCTACAGGGACATGGTGAAATCTAGATTCAAAAATAGGTGTGCCACGTGTCGAGGCACGATTGACAGTTTGAAAAAAAAAAAACAAAAATGCTACTTGTACATCAAGAATTATACATCAAGGTGTCCATCACACTCACATAGGAGTAGGACCCACTNAAAATGACATATTTTTAAATGTGCGTCCACTTGTGATTTGAGCTACAATAATAATGATGAAGAACATGAAATCGACAAAGAAATAAGAATAAAGATTTAAGTGGTTCGGTGATGTGCCTACGTCCACGGGAACGAAGCGGCTATAATTCTGTTTATTTAGAGCCTGTTTGGTAGGGATTTTTGGGGGAAGAATTGATTTTTGAATAGTGATATGATGGGAAATGTGTGGTTGAAAAAGAAGAAAAAATTATTGATGTGATGGAAAATATTATTTTATTGAAGAATGTGTGGTTGAAAATGAGAATTGATTTACTGTAGAAAATCAAAATTCATACCAAACAGGCTCTTAGTTGCTATTATTATTATTATTTCGTAACATGTTAAGTTTTAATAACTTAGATTAATCACTGTCAAAACTCCCAAAGCCACATTTTTGTTATTTCATAACATGTAGTTGAAAGTCCCACGTCGGAAATCTTACAACTAACTAGCATCGACATTTTCGCACAAATTTCTCATCAAAAAGATCGTTGGGAAACTCCAACACATCTTCCAATAACGTCTCCTGTAAAAATAAGATGGCCACGACAGTTAACTTAGATAGAAGTCCAT